GTTTAATGAACACAACGATATGAATACAAGTACGAATTTTATCAAAGTGCAGGGCGAATGATTATTCACTCGTTTGGTCTAAACCACTATAAAAATTATACCATTGATTAACTACAGAATAGACCTGACATACAATTTTCGTATCTCACGTTTCAGAGCTCACTTGAGCTTCCGCTTACTACTTTCATTTCATATGCGACGTTATCGATTTAGTATATTAATGCCATAAACTTTGCAACTTGGATATTAAATAAATCATTAGATATAGGCTGAATTTTATCACAAATGAGATGTGATTTCATTTTAGATGACCAAAAATTATTAATTTTTTTTTTAATAATCTAGATTATTCTAATCTAGATCTTGATGAGCTAAAACCAAAGATAAAAATTTTGTCTTTAGGAATTTATTGGTTCAAAATTATAAAAGTTAGTTTTTATTTCTTATTATTTTGGTATTATTTGCTATATTATTGACAATATATTGCTTTTTCATATAACATTTATTTTATAGTTTGAATTAGACACATTTTAAGCGCCTGCTCTGAGATTTCTCGTAAATAGTAGTTTAACTAAAAGGACCAATCAAATTATGTATAGAAGCAATATAACATCTACTAACCTGTAATAAAATGTAAGAAATGTTTTAAAAATATTTAACTTTATAGCTAACTTTTAAATCCGTGAATTCCTAAAGCTAAAACTTAAATGTTTGGTTTCAATTTATCGAAATCTACCAGATTAAAAAAAAATTTATAATTTTTTGATTCCCTAAAGTTCTACAGTTTAACCTAGATATAATGATAAATAGGACTATATAGTCACAGACGAGCTATATAAATAGACATTGCATCTTATGTGACTTCATGTCACATGCTTAAAAATAATTTTTCACTAACTAAATTTTCAACTAAATTTTAAATTATTATTAATATTAAAATATTAAAATTATTATATTTCCTTATTTATTTATATTACATATTCAAATTTATGTTAATTTTTTAACAATTTTATTATTATTATGCAGTGCATGGGGCAAACATAAATTCTATAATTCATTTATTGTTGAAAAATATATAAAGTTGCGTAATAAATCAATATGCATATACCTCGTCTGTGTTTAAACGTAGAGTGCGCTAAAAAGTATAGTAATTTTTTACCATGTCGGTATTTCAGGTCACGGGCCACGAAAATCCGTAAGATGCGATGTCTATTCATATACCTCGTCTATGCCAATATCAAGCAGTTTTGACTCTTTTTAATGAAATCAGGATGGGTAAGTTTGTTTAAGGTGGATTTCATTGTTATCGCTTTGAATTGATAGTTTTGCCATTAAATTTATTACTATATAATTATCAGTCATTTGTGAAAACGCCAATTCTTTTTATTCAAATATTACTTTTTATTAATTAAATGTAACCATTTAAAAGTCTATAATATTTTGTCAGTTCTAACATTTTTAGTATTTTAGTGAACTTTATAATCTATTTTATTTTTGCATAATTATATATTTATTATATATTTATTATATATTTATTATAATTTTCTTTCACTGATTCTAAATTTATTATTTCAAATATAAATTTAATGTTTTTCATTGTTGAAGTCGATAGTACGTAATAATATATGAAAATTCTTTATTTTATCATACATAAAAATATCTTTCTGTCAGGTATTTCTCGTGATCATTGGCATAAGAGGCGAGCAACTGGTGGTAAAAGAAAACCAATCCGTAAAAAGAGAAAATTTGAGTTAGGGCGTCCAGCTGCAAACACAAAACTTGGAACTCAACGTATTCATACGGTATTATTATATAATTTTTATTGCAAACAAATGATTTGTTTGCAATAAAAATTAATCTGTCAGAAAAAAAAGTATAACAAGTTTATTGATTTTATTATAAAAAATATTATATAAAATTGTTTTTGTATAAAACTATATAATTTTTTTTCTATGATAATATGGCAATATTTAAACATGAAATAATTATTACCTTTATCTACATTGAATATTGTCTTGAATAATTGTATTGAATAAAATTATTTATATTATATTATTTAATTATTACTAAATATTTATAATCATCCATATTCATATATAAAAGGTACGTACAAGAGGTGGTAATAAGAAGTACAGAGCTCTTCGTTTGGATATAGGAAATTTTTCATGGGGCTCAGAATGTACTACAAGAAAGACACGAATTATTGATGTAGTTTATAATGCATCAAACAATGAATTAGTGAGAACCAAAACTCTTGTAAAAAATGCAATTGTTACCATTGATGCAACACCTTTCAGACAGTGGTATGAAGGCCATTATGTTTTACCATTGGGTCGTAAACGAGGTGCTAAATTGGTAAGTGAATGACATTTCATTTCCTTACGTCATTAAATAATATATAATTAAACAAATAAATTGATAAATACTGAAATAAAATAAATTAATAAATATTAAAATAGACTGAAGCTGAAGAAGAAGTTTTACATAAAAAACGATCAAAAAAAGCAGAATCTAAATATAAAGCAAGACAGAGATTTGCCAAAGTTGAACCAGCTTTGGAAGAGCAGTTTGCTACAGGACGAGTTCTTGGTAAGCAAGATAATTCTTTATTATATAAATTAATTTTCTAACATATGTATATATGCATATATTGCAATTTTAGATTGAACTTTGTTTTAAGATATTAAATTTATAATTTAAATTTATAATCTAAATTTATAATTTAAATTTATAATTCTATTAAAACATATGATAATTTTTGACAAATTATACGTATATAAAATTTATGCATATAATGCATATAATATGTAGAATATATTTTAACGCCATGTTAGTTTTAATGGTGATTAAAATTTTTTGGTAACTTTTTTTTTATAATATTGCCTTATTCAAACCAATATCAATTCTTTCTGTTAATTGAGCTTTTAACAATATACATGTATGTTAAAATAAATCAAACTTTATATACAATATTCTTAATTTTATTACTACTAATATTCTAAACTATACAGTATATCATCTTTTTTATATAGGATATTCCTATTCTCCACAAAACGATACCAATATTTTCAATGAGCAAAAATAAAAGAAAACTATAAAATATAGGCTCAAAAATGTTTTATTAAAAATTTATAACAAAAATTTATAACAAAAATTTAAAAGAACGAACTGGCTTTTATTTAATATAGCATAAAAATAGATTGGTGATATTTATATCAATTCTTTTTTATTATTTCTGTATCGTATCTGAAAATAATTTAATAGATATTTAATATTAATTTTTCTGAACTTTATATAT